TATTTTCTTTTTGCCCTCACACTATTTATGTTTAGTAGGAGAGAAGGTAATATATTTTAAAAGCTATATGGTATAAGTTAATAAGTAAACAATTTTCAGTTAAAATAGTTTTTTGGGGGGAATGAGAATAGTGAGGAAATAGTTTATTTGGAGAATAAGGAGAATCTTTTGAGGTAAAAAAGAGAAGGTATGATTGGAGAAAATAAAGAATTTTAGAAATCAAAGCCTAAAAGGGTACCATGAAGATTTCTGGTCCAACAATACTTGAGAGATTACTGACAAAGCTGGGGCCACAGTCTAGGTCTGAAGACCCTCACCCAGACCACTGCTCATTCCCTCCTGGAGTTAAGCCCTGAATGAAAAGCCCAGTATAGATGCAGGATGGTACACTATGCTGAGGGGCAGCACAGGCAAAGGTGGTCATCCTAGCAGTGTCGGCATGTGCTTGGGCTCCTGGCTCTACCTTTTTCATAGCCTCTGGGGTCTTCATGTGTTTTCCCATTTCTTTCCTAAGTTGTCAGTCTCTGCCTTGCTGTTACCACTTTCCCCCATCCTATGTACAAATACTTACCATCCTAGATAAGACAAAGAACTTCATTTAGCTATGAACCCATCTCTCCTAACGTCTCCACCAGCTTCCTGGTGTAGTTCTCTACTTGCCCGCCTCCATCTCTGAATCACTTATGAATTCACTGTAATGGGTCTCCTGGCCCAGCCCTCCATTGAAACAATGCTTGGGAACTCCAGTAACCCTCATGTGTGCACTGGTTGATACTCTTGACCCATTGCTCTGCAAATCTCCATCTGAGACTTCTGGTCCCCTTGAATATCGAGTGGCATTCTTGGTTGCTTTCAGTTGAAATTGACCTTGGCTAACCTGTGGGAAAAAACGTTGGTTTTTGGAAAGTTGGCAGAGACTGTTAAGTTACTTTCCGCTTCTCCCTTGATTTGGTTTGGGTGGCAGTCTGCCTAACCCTTTGCTAGATCTGCATATTCTCAGCCTTCCTAACAAGGGGTGGCCATGTCACACAATTGTGGCCAAGTGGACACCAACTAGGGGGCATCTGATAAAAAAAGAGCAGGCCCTTTCTTGCCTGGAATCCAGTTGTGTGACAAGGTTACACTGGAGGATATACAAGCCACGCTTCTCATGAGGCAGCACGCCTGTGGCTGGACCTAAGTTGGTGACAAGGCCAGGGAGCAGAGTGACAACACCGTTTGTTTTCTTGAGCTGGGAAGCCTCTCACATATGAGAGTTGAAAACTGGGCAGCCACAGAAGACCAGGGTTCACCATAGCGATTTCCCCCTTCTCATATGTCTGATCAGTTCTTCGCTTTTTGTCTGCTCTGTAAGAGTGGGTGTTCCTTGGGCTTCCATTCTTGGCCTTTTGACCTTCCCTTTTTGCTCTTTATTTTTATTTCTTATTTTTATTTTTCTTTGCGGTAGGCGGGCCTCTCACTGCTGTGGCCCCTCCCGTTGCGGAGCACAGGCTCCGGACGCGCAGGCTCAGCGGCCATGGCTCACGGGCCCAGCCGCTCCGCGGCATGTGGGATCTTCCCGGCCCGGGGCACGAACCCGTGTCCCCTGCATCGGCAGGCGGACTCTGAACCACTGCGCCACCAGGGAAGCCCTGCTCTTTATTTAGGTAATCTACTCTCTTGGTTCCAGCCATCACCTATATGCTGATGACTTCTATGTCTGTATCTCTAGCCTTGTTATTTTCTACCTTTATAGTCAGATATTAATTTCTTGGATAGACACAGCCCCTTACATGTGCCACAGATTTCTCCTGCTCAACATTTCCCAGAGTGAATTTATCCTTTTTGCTCTAAACTTGTTATCCTCCTCTGCCCCCCTGGTCTCATTTAATGGCACCACTGTATTGTAGGAGCATCTTACTCTCTCCCCACTCCTGCCCTCTTATCAGTCACCAGGTCCTTTCATTTTACTCCTGACTCTTCCCTCAAATTTGAACCTTCTTCTCTGAGCCATATCCATTTCCTGGTATCTTCTATAGAACTGTCGTAGTAGTCTCAGAGCTTGTGTCTTGCCTTCTTTTTGTCTTTCCTCTTTGCTTCTTATCTTTCTCTTCTCTCCTATCCTGCAACTATTCTCCTGCCTACTGAAGCCAGAGTGATGTCCCTAAAGCACCGGTTATCATTCCTCTTCCCAAACTTTGTGTGTATTTTATTTTATTTTTTTATTGAAGTATAGTTGATGTACTTATATGTTACAGGTGTACAATATAGTAGTTTACAACTTTTAAAGGTTATATTGCATTTATAGCTATTGTAAACTATTGGCTGTGTTGTACACAACACAAACTATCCCTGTGTTTGTACAGTATATCTTTGTAGCTTATTTTATACGTAATAGTTGGTAACTCTTCGTCCGTACCTCTGTATTGCCCCTCCCCCGTTTCCTCTCCCCACTGGTAACTACTAGCTTATTATCTGTATCTGTGAGTCAGCTTCTTTTCCTTTACATTCACTAGTTGGTTGTATTTTGTAGATTCCACATCTAAGTGATACCATACAATATTTGGCTTTCTCTGACTTATTTCGCTTAGCATAATGCCCTCCAAGTCCACCCTTGTTGCTACAGATCCTCTGCCTAAACTGTTCCACTTGGTCCCATTGTCTATGCAATGAAGTCCAAGCTCCTTGCATGGCATACAGGGCCTTCTTGGCTGTCTGTCCAGTCTTACTCCCAGTTACTCTTGACCTTAAACTTGAGGTTTTGGTGATATGGAATGGCTTGGGTGGGTACACACTGTGGAATGCTAACTTGATATGGGATGGTTCTTTTTACCCCTGGACACCGTGCTTTCGTATTGTGTGCTTTTCTGTTTCCACTCCCCATCATGCCCTTTTTACCTTTCTTGCCAGCTAATTCTTGCTCCTTTGGAAGGTTCTGTGAAGGCATAATCTCTGGCAGTTTTCCCTCAGTCTGGAGGTTGGACTAAATACCCCTCCTCTCCGTTTGCTATGATACTTGTCTTTGCCTCTTTTTAATTTTACTCTATTTCTTGCCGTGTATCAATATTATTGAAACTGTTTATATGTGGCTGTGAGTTCTTTGAAGTCAGGGCACCATCTTAGTCTTCTTTACGAGGCAGTGTCTTGTGCAGGGTCTGGCTCTACATGTTTTTGTTGAACTGAATCAGGTAAATTTGAAGGGAGACTGGTGGGTGGAAAGATATATTGGCCCAAATTGTAAATATCTTTGCAGACAAAAGGCATTCAAATACTTGATGAACGAAGAAAAAGAAAGTAGATTATATTGTTTTGTAAGTCTTGTCAGTTTGGGGAGAAAAATAACTTCAGGTCATTAATGCACTCCAACTGATATGTTATCCTAACCATTATCAGTTGGAGTGCATCCACATAAAGTACTATTACTTTTGAGCTACTTTTCAGAGGTGATATGCCCTTGTTAGCTGACTCCATGACACCTAGAATCGCATTACATGCCATCCCGATCCCTTGTTTCCTGGGGTTGCTGAGGCCTACCTCTGTTCTGTGCCTACTCTGCTCTTACCAAGGCTAATACCAAAGAAGGATTTGCCAGTGTTTATACCTAGAGCAGGGGTTGGCAAACCATCACCTTTCTTTATAAATAAGGTTTTATTGGAACACAGTCACACCATTCACTTACACATTATTATCTATGGCTGCTTTTGTGTTCCCACAGCATGGTTGCACCATTGTAACAGAGACCATTTGGCTTGCAAAGTCTAAAATATTTACTATTTGATCTTTTACATTAAAAGTTTGCTGATTTGTACCTTAGAGCTACTTAATATTAGAAAGACAAAGCCTTATATAATATCCAAATTGGGTAGTAATCTCAAATTAGGAATTAGGAGACTCTTGAAAAGGGCAAACATCCTATTTGGTGGGATGGTTTTGTTAAATTTCTTGTTGCTACCGTTTTGCTGCGTGTGTCACTGAAGATTGTCCACATTTCATACTATGCCTCAAATATATATATTTGTATATGAAATATATATTGTAAAGGTTTTAAAATTAATCTCCTTAACCATATACAAAACATTGAACACCAGAGTCAGGTGTGTGAATTCCACATTGGAAAAAAAGTTTGTATCCTTGACAGGCTGCTTAGTGTACAGAGGCTTAAATACAGGACTTCCATTAAAACAGTTTAAAATATCAGTGTATATATGTCTCCCTCCCTGTTGCCTGCTGCCCTTTCCCCTGCCTTCTGTCCTTCAGTGGGCAGACCAGTTCTTTCCGGTTTGACCAATTCTTAATATTTCTGAAGATAAGTGGGCTACTGAAGGCAGAGTCCTGGAAGTGTGAGGCTGAGTGGTGTGTAACTGACCCTGGCATGTCACCAAGGGTGATGTTACAATTGTTTGTTGACTAGTCGGGACCTATGTCAACTCAAATGCTGGAGCAGGGCCCGGGAGTGCCTGGAGTTACTCCTCAGCTGTTGGGTGGTGGGGAGGTCGGGGGGTGCTGTGGTTGGGAGCTGGCCGAGGCTGGGGGTGGGGTGAGATGGAGGGTTTGGGGTAACTAGCCGCTTTTCAGTCTTGCCTCTACTGATGTGTGTTACTCCAGTAAAGCTAAGGCCCTCTTGCTTCATTCATTGAGCAAACATGTTTGAAATGGCTGTCACGTGAATGCCAGGTGTCCTCGTAGGTATTGGGAGTTGCAGAATGAGTGTATATGCTTCTTCCCATCCAGTGGCTTATAGACAGATTTGTTTGGAGCAGTGAGGCAGGAGCTAGGAGGATCTACGTGGGACCAGGGAGGAGAGGTTCTGTGTTGGTAACACAATGCATGTCCAGTAATGCTCTAAGTGTTTTAGGTTAAAAAAAAACAAAACAAAACCGGAAAAAACCCCAACTTTTCGCATCTTGAACTGAGCCTGTACATTATGCTTTTGTTTAACTGGAATTTTTGCTTATGAAGCTATTTCCGTTTTCATAGCAGTTACTTCTTTTTAAGGATATAATTAAATTTGTGTATTTCAGGTTGCTTGCCTGATTCGGGTTCCTTCTGAAGTAGTTAAGCAGAGGGCACAGGTATCTGCTTCTTCAGGAACATTTCACATTTTCTCTAACATCTTATGTCAAGAGGTGAGAATGTGTTTTTAAGCTCTCTTATTGAGAATATTGTGTGGTAGCTAATAGGAACACTGTGGCCCTCATCCTAGGAGCCTTAGAAGAGACCTTAAAGCTAAATTTATTGTCCAATTATAGCAACTTTTTATGCTAACATTATCTTTGCCTTTCCATTGTTTTCAAAATTTTTAGTTTCATTTTTATTTCTTTTTCAAATTTCTAAACAACCACACTACTAAATGTGTGTCCTACATTGCAGTAGTCTTATCATTCTTTTGGAATCAGATATAGAATAAATAGTGAATATGTAAAGTGAATAAAGATATTAAAACATCAGTATAGAATTTGAGGACCCATGGAAGAGACCTGTGGTAATGGACTGATATTAGTGACCAGTGTCGTAATGTTTATATAAAAATGTAATTCCTCTTGTACTGGTTCATGTTAACCTGTGGATCAAATTTCATGCGTGCTGCCCATGTGGCTAGGGACCAGTGAGCTGCTCTTCTTTATAGTTTGTACAGAAGCCCTTTTTTTTCTTTAAAATGGAATCAGTCACATGAAAATTTCAGTGAGTCTAGGTTTTAGAAAAGTTTTATTCTTAATCCCTCTGTCACCTAGGTGAGCAGACATTGAGTGTTTAATTGTATGATTGAGATCAGTTCAGTAAAGGGTCCCTGTTGAATCGTGTGGATAGTTAAACAGATAAGTCAAGGCTTGTCTAGAGGTATCTCTCACTATTGAGAGATTATTCATGCATTGTGACGTCTTATAATTGAAACTATAAAATATAGTTCTGTTCTTTTGTGAAAGGATAATTGGCATTCTGTGTGCATTTGGTTTTGAAAATGTTTATTTAAAGCTTCTCAAGTATTTTTTTTCAAGAGAAGAAATGTTGAAAATAAGTACAGTTTAATTAATATGTAGTCAGCTTTATTATTAGAGATGTTCCCATTTTAAAGGGAGCTGATCTGAGCTTTATATACTTTAAGCCAGTTTAAAAGCTTTAACCTCTTATAGAACTGTAGTCATTTTGAATATTTCAAAGCTCAAACTTTAGAAGACGTAAATCTGCTTCATGCAGAATGTCATTTAGAAGTCTCTGCTATTCTAACTTTCTGAGGTCTTGGCTTTTTGTTTGTTTCAGGGCATCCAAGGATTATATCGAGGCTACAAAAGCACTGTTTTCAGAGAGGTAAGTAACTTAATTTCCAATATTGAACTACAAAAGAATGATATGCTTTGTTTAGTAAATTTATTTGGAGAGACTGGTTTAAAAAATTACAATGGGAAATTATCACTTTTTAAAACACTGTTTAGTCTTACCGTGGCTCTTACATCTGATGACTGGGTAGAATGGGTCAGCTGAAAGAGCAGCCCCAGTGGTCAGAAGGCCCATCCTAGAGCTTCAGTCTTATCATAGGCGGCTACATGGCTGTGATAGCTAAGATATGAAGAAATAACTACTAAGGGTAAGATATCAAGTTAATTACTGTAATAAACAGAATGAGTGAAAAATTGGTAAGGAAAGAAGCACTCTGGGAGACAAGTGTCCCAAAGGGCTATTTTTATGTGAAAAATCATGCAGTTAGCTCTTGTCTTCCTGATAGAAAAATATGATGAATTGGGAAGTTCAGTCTGGACTGGAGAGCTGACCCTGCCCGTGACTTGCAGTGCAGTGTGCCCCCAGAGAAAGCCTTCCAGTTTCGAAATTCTGTGGTTCAATAAGTGGTCAATGTCTTCTTTTTTTGGTTGAAAAAGCAAAGTGATTTTAGTACATATATTACTGCAGGAAGCATGTTTTAATTTTTGGCTTATATAGAGGAGGCTATTTTGAAGTTTAAAAGTTGATTTATAGATAACTGGGATATGGGATATAAGAGAAGTCTTCGGTTTGGGACATAAGTTTTTTTTTTTTTTGTGAGTGTAAATCCTAGGGTTTTTTGTTTTTTAGCTTTTTGACATATAATTGACAAATAGAATTGTGAGGCATTCATAGCGTACAGTGTGATGATTTGATATAGGTATACATTGTGAAAAGGATTGGGACATAATCTTCTATTAAAATACAGAAGAGATTCTGCATACCTCTGCTCTGAATCCTTGTTTTCTGTTTGGATTTCCCTTGGATGCTAAAACATTCTCATTTATAAAAATGTGTTCAATTTAAATAAATATTGTCATAATTAGCAGAATATTGAAATCTTTGAAGTCTGAATTTTATTCCCAGGTAGTCTTTTTGTTTATTTTGTTTGTTTGCTTGTTTGTTGTTAGTATAGATTACAGTCTTCTTTATGAAACACCAGCACTGTTACATGTTATTTAAAGTTTTGATTTCCACAAAGTAATAACCTTTAGTGTAGTGTGGTGTAGTTGATGTATATCTTTGAAAAACTTCTGAAGCCAGACTGAATGTTTCAAAATTAGTTATTTGTGTGAAGATGACTTCTGCCTTTCAAAATACCACCTGCACTGTATCTTCATTCTGTACTTATTTTCCCACTCACTAAACACATGTTATTTACTCAGGTTTCACCTGGGTGAGGTGCAGAAAGAGGGGGCAATAAACCTTTTTTTGTTTTTCTGAGAGATGCTGAATAAATGAATGTATTTACATGCCAGAGAATACTGGTTATGCATACAAATAGATAAAACACATGGTTACAACTGCATTCTATTCTTTTAAAAATTTGTGTTTTTTTTTTTTTTTTTTTTTTTTTTTTGGCGGTACGCGGGCCTCTCACTGCTGTGGCCTCTCCCGTTGCGGAGCACAGGCTCGGGACTCGCAGGCTCAGCGGCCATGGCTCACGGGCCCAGCCGCTCCGCGGCATGTGGGATCTTCCCGGACCGGGGCACGAACCCGTGTCCCCTGCATCGGCAGGCGGACTCTCAACCACTGCGCCACCAGGGAATCCCTAAAAATTTGTTTTGACATATGTCACACTAGTAATTAATTTCTAGGCTGCATTTCTTGCAAAAAGTGTGCCCCTAGTGAGATGACTTTTTGTTTACTCAAGATGGCAGTGCTTTGTTGGAAATTTAATTGGGATCTTCTGCATTATGCATTTTCATAAAAGTATCCTTCAGAACTGATTTTAGTTGAAATATTGCTTTTGTACAGGTTCTCTCATAGAATAAGAGTTACTGCTAAATGAAACATCGCTTCTTTTCAAAATGAGAAAAATAAGAAGTGATGTATCTGCTTTAAACAACATTTTTACATTATAAATAGTTTTCAATTCTTACATCGTTCTGACACCAATACAAATCTTTTCGCACTAAATGAAACATCCCTTCTTTTCAGAATGAGAAAAATAAGAAGTGATGTATCTGCTTTAAACAAAATTTTTACATTATAAATAGTTTGAATTCTTACATCGTTCTGACACCAATATCAAATCTTTTCACCAAGAGCTTGTTTGATTGTTTCAATAAGAAAATACATTGAAGCCTTAGTGAGAGTCACCAGGAAACTCATACATTTATTCTGTGTACAGTTTTTTCTTTAAAATAGTTTTATCTCCCTCGCGGTAGCCCATTAGAATGAGATTGAAGTTTGAATCCATGCGTTATAAGATAGATTATGTGTGATCTTTAGATTTTGTGAATGCTGTCACATGGCTTTTACTACGTTTGATTTTTGTGGAGATTGCATGCTTATCCCTTATGTTCTCCTAAATTATTTTAGTTACTGTGAATTTTAGATGGAGTGTAAGCAGGGTGAACCGATTATACTCTTTACCTCACCCTTTCAGTATTCATTTTCCTCATGATCTAGGCCAAATTAGATGTGGCCAAGCATTGTGGGGCAGTGTGGTTATTCCAGTAAGATGGAAACGGGGAGCAAAGTCACAGCTGCTTTCATAGCCAGGGTAATTTCAGAGGGTCCGTTGTCCCGAAAGTTCTGTGGAGAGCAGCCTCACGACCTTGGAGGTGAATTAGAAAGAAAGCAGAGAAAAGCAAGTCGTTTCCAAAAAAAAAAAAAAAAAAAAGTAGGAATAAGTTAGGCTCAGCAAATGCATTTTATCCACACATTCTACACGACAGTCGTTTTAAGAGTGCCTGCTGTGTCTTGGGCACCACGCAGAACACTTCTGCCCTGAAGGATTCATATTCTGGTGGGGAAGGAAACGGGGGGCAGACACTTTACAGGGCAGTGTAATAGGGCTGAAATGACACGTATATCCAAGATGCAGCAGAGGTTATAGAGCAAGCAGTGCTTGAGTGGTACCCAGTATTCATTGCATTAATAAAAATTAGTCTGGACTTAATTCTTGAAGAGGTGTCACTTAGAAGTAGTCCAGGAGACAGGAAGATGTAACAACACATACAAAGCCCCAAGGGTGTGAAAGAACACACGTTGTGTGTACCTTGCTTATCGAAGCACAATTGGGGTTTTCACACCCAGCGAAGAGGCAGGAGTGATTTCCCTCTACCTCAAGCCTGTGCTTCAAAAAAGCACTCACCCAAGTTGGGTATTTTCCAGGAGGAATGGTTGAACCTCTCACCCCAGCCGAATGTTTGCCAGGGACCTGGAATCAGGCATATGGGAAAAGCTCTCACAAGAGCCTGACATATGTCCACTGGAGTTTGGAGGATAAATTACTGGTTTTTAACTGTTATCTGCAATGAATCTCACAGTGAAATGCAGTTGGAGCTGTCTCACTGGCAGGATGTTGCCGTTTTGGTAATGAGTAACTCCTGGCTTCTTTTTGGTAGATGAGTGTAGCAACTAAAGAGATCTGAGATAGGTGAGAATTATCTCCCCCTCTCACCCTTAGTTTGTTCCCAGGCTTCCATAACGCAAATCTCCCACCAAATTCTGTTACACACGCAATCAAAATCAAGCACTCGGGCGGGCCAGAACAAGTCATTCATCCTGTTCTGTGAGTTCACTGACGCCCTCAATCTGTCCCTTTAGGTGCAACATTCCCCACTCTGACTGCAAAGTTCACTCGCAAGTTCCAAACCCAGTTTCCCTTATTGTCTATTTCAGGCAGTGAGAATTTTCTCTAATTTACTGGCTGGAAACAGGAACCTTTAGGAATCAAGCCTTAAGAATCGTCCTTCAAATCCTCTTTCCCAGCTCTTATCATTTCCTTTGCCCCCAAGGTCTTCATGTTATATAAGTCTCTTGTGTGTTTTTCCAGAGCTACCCTATCCTAGGTGTTTAGCATCTTATTTGATTTTTAACCAAAATATTTTAGAGATCATTTTTTATCACTTTATAAGGGGCACGCTTTTTTATGATTGTGTAGGACTCCATTGTACAGAGGGATCATTGTGCCACCACTTCCTCATTGGTGGGCAGGACAGACATGCTACAATGAATAATACTCTTCCTGTGTCATTTCATACGTGGTTGAGAATGTTTGTAGGTTAGATGCTGAAAAGTGGAATTTCTTGGTTAGGGGTGTATGGGCATTTGTAATTTTGATGCAAATCGCCAAATTGCCCTTCGCAGAAGTACCAGTCGACCCTTTTGCCCACAGTGTGGGAGCTCTCTGTTGACCCCTGCCTCACCAACGGTACTAGCAATCTCAGAGGTGAAAAACGATCTCACTGTAATTTTAATTTTAAGTGAGACTGGGTGTATGAACATATATCTGACAACAATTTTCTTCCTTTACTGTGAACTGATGGTTTGAAATTATATTGAAGTTATGGTGAGAATTAAATGAAGAGATCCATATGAAGTGCTTTCTGTAGACCCTGACACATAGGATGTGTTCACAGTATGTTAACTATGCTTAATAGTACTCTTGGTAACTGAAAGAGCTTTTGACAGGAAGTGACATCTCAGTGTGGAATGCCAGTGTCTCACCAGCTGTCTACTCTTGGCAAGTTACTTAACCTCTCTGAGCCATTTGCCCCTCTGTGCTAGAAACTTTGTGTCAGTTGTTCTTGGCTGCAGTCTCACAAAGGAGGTATTGCAGCAATATGGTCTGCTAGGACCAGAGATGAAGAAAGCTGCCTCTAGGCTGTCAGTTTCTTGAACAGGGATGCAGCCTTGATCTGCCTGCATGTAAATGTGTGAATGCCATTTCATGATGATGAATAACAATAGTTGTGTTTGAACTAGAGGCTGGCTAACTGTTACTGCTTAAAAAGCTTCTCAGCTACAGTTGGAGAGTGTTTTATCCAAATGTCTTGTAGAATGGAATTGTTTATTCACTTAACAGATTGCAACCTGCA